CAAATTCTTGCTCAGTTTCTACAGAGTTTCTACAACTTCTTCAAATATGTAAAACTGTTATTAAAAAGGTTACCTCTACATTTTTGAAGACTGTTTTTTGGACTTCTTTGTTTTGATAGCAGATCATCCTCCAGATGAATAAACCTGTCATTGTAGCGAGCAAGATTGACAGTATTACAATTATAATCCATAAACATCTTCTGCTGGGTCTTGTCCGCGCTGTGAATGTAATATCATCCTTCATTGGGGGTTTATACTTTGAAATTTCAGGAATGTTCTCTTGCGTGGGAGCCGGTTGTTCTGCAGGTTCTTCATCGCGGACATAGCTTGGGTTGTCGATGGAAAAGCGTACTCCTGTCGATTTAGGGACATCGTTCTCTTGAGGAACAGAGTTAGTCAGCTTTGAGATATCCTTTTGAGGGCCAAATTGCTCTTCGGGATCGTTGTCCTGGATTTGATCCTTGTTTTCGCTGTGTAATCTATTAAAATTTGGTCGGTAAAATTTTTCAGAATATTCATCTTCCGTGAGCTCGTCGATGTCAAGCTCCTTGATATCACGACTCGAGTCGTTTTCTAGATTCGAGGTCATATGTTAGTTGGTCAAGGTGTACTTCAGCTGAAACAATAAAGATTGTTGATCTGAAAAATTTAAAAGCATGAAGAGCATTTCTTAAGGTGATGTTACACTGTGCAATTTTCTCAGGAGTTAGTTGCAACAAAAGTTACTGAGGAATTCATTAACTCAGATCTACTTTTGGCAAGATATTAAAGCAGCTTGAAACGCTATTGCACTGTCATATCACCTAACATTTCCCGCAATTTAAGTTGGCGAGAAAAAATGCATTGTGTGACGAGAGCTATAATTTTCTCGGCAACTTGTGATGGAAGACAGGTTACTGAGAAAATTGCACAGTGAGTAACAGCACCGGCCTAAATGCAAGCAAATGAATTGGACTTGAAACAAGAGAATTTGATGCGCAATCAGTTCAAATCTCCCGCCATGAATTCATGAATCCCGTTTGGACGAAGGTTTATTTAATGGTATGTAAATGAAGCTGCCTTGAGTTTCCTAGATATGATCTCTAGGACTACGACTACGGTTAGCACCAAAACAGTTTAGTTTGATTGACAACACTCAACAACAAAAAAGTTTATCCGTACTGATCGCGCAGCAATGCAAACGACCGTAAGCACATACAATTAATTACTCCTTGGGAAAAACTCGAAAAGAGAATGTGAAAAGTCCTAGAAATGAAATCACAACCTTGACTATAGGCCATTTTGAATGTATACCCTCCCACATCTGAGTAACTGGCATGAACGCTTGTGCAAATCGGGACAATTTGTGTTCCATACCTGTCGGATTTTTGGCGGACGTATAAACTCTATTGTAGAATCTGCTACAATGAATTTTGAAGTCCTAATCAACAGTCATTTTTGATAATGGAAATTGTTAGCAAAAACACAATGAAATTGGTCGAGCTTGCAATGATGACTTACCAAATCATCATTTTAATTAACAAGGTTTTTAAAAACATGATACATCTACTAGTGAAGATAGAACGGTTCTTAAAAGTAACCATTTCAGTGTCAAGTGTCATATAGTCCTCATAACACAAACGTTGTCGAAGAAGAAGAACTTTTACTAAGGCATTAATTAAATACAAAAAGTGTTCGGCTTCAGTCATCGTTTGTCTTTTAATCAATTTAATGTATTCCTAATTCCTAATTCCTAAATCTCAGGACAACAATCACGGGCTCTATATATACAAACACACGGCATGTACACTTCAAACACGTCACGCGAACACATTAATAAAATCAGAGGTAGTGAAGAATTATTTCTGAAAATATTCGTGAAGTTTTCATTGCATTTTTCTAACGTYTTTGTATCTTTGCTTGAACGCTATTGGACAATTTGTGGGAAATTTGTTTGGGTGACCTTGGCATTGGTAGGGTAAAGAAAGGTACTTTATCAATATAGCGTACTTAATAAATCAGAAATTATAGCTATGGTATATATAGAGGATATTCAGTGGACGCGGGGAGATACGGGTTTTATCCTACTTTATAAGATCTCTCACAAGTGAGAATAACACTTTACGAAATGGAGCAATGTAAGTATTTCTATAGATAGTTATGTGAAAAACTGAAACATTCAATTAAGTATACGTACTTGAGTAATCAATTTATATTTGAATGACAGAAGCCGGCTGTTAGCCAGCGTAAATTCAGTAAGGTATTACGATACATGTAAATAAATTATTGGTGCGCTGGCTGAGATGGACCGCTTGTCATAGGATTTCTTTAGTGTTTTTGTTTGATTTATTGGTATGACTTTGCACTAAAGCGATAGATGTATTGTTGACATGTGATTGTAGGACAAACTTCAAAGTTTTCTCATTCTCTGATGGTCTTAGTGACGCTTATTCAAAAATTCAAAAAACTTAAAATGCAGAAAACACAAATAAGTACTAATTTATCCATTTCATGATAGATCGCATATATCATTTTCTTGGCTTTCTATAWATTGTAAATGACTGACAAACATACTTTTTGAATCGAATTTACATTGTGTACTTAACCACATAACGGAGTACCACAATTACTGTAGGATGTAGGCTAATCAATCAAAATAATATCGAGATTGAAACWAAGAAKGAAAGAAAACGCAAAGGAWGAAAATTTGTGATTGAGAACTATCAATCTAGTTTTCACATCCAGAAAAAGTCRAAATAAGTTTTARTTTCTACGCCGCGGTATATCAGCCATAAAAAGTTATGCTAAACAGTTGCAAAGCATGTCAACAACGCATCAGTGCTGTTTCAATATTCGTGATATCGTAGAAAGGTTACGACTAAGAAATTCTGAGTTAACAATATAAGAGAAAAAACCCGAGATATTGATTATTGAATTCAGAATCTTGAAGGTACAATGCATAAGATTAATGTATTTTAAAGACTTTATAATGATAAATGGACGATCGARAATGATGATTCAAAATGAATAAATTGATATTTCGATATTTATAAAACTAAGTCAAAGACTACTTAGCCCGAAGAAGCCTCCAAAGTAAAAATCCTCCTACAGTATATTTTTACATTTTCGAGCTTTACAATGTGATTATCAGTGTATTGTAAAGTACTATCCTAACCAAACATAACRCTTGTAAAACTAGTTTGAACTTCTTCTGTGCTCTATATACTACGTTGTGGCGTCAACCAAAACATTTATTTTTAACAGGTGGCTTACTATGTAATAAAATCAGAGTTGTTGCCACTGGTTTGAACCGGAATAGCATTAAATACAAGAACAATCTCTTCCTCGTAAAAATTACACAAACAACAAGTGTTATCCCAGAAATCCGGACCATTTTTTCCAGAAGCCGGATCTCTCTTAATCATATGTCAACGGCACTGAAAATTCCATGAAATTCCTTCACTGAAAATGCAGTCTCTTACCTTGTTATGCCCTTGAGGTAATATTTATTTTCTATATATACATGGTAAATCAAGCTTGACAGCAYAACTTAAAACTGACTTTATAATGAGTTTTCCGTTCATAGCCGACACACAGGTATCCCAATGTGTAGTTTACTTTACGTAGTTATAGATACATAGAGTCACTTTCGTATGAGTGGGAAACGCCGGGACGGTACTGTACTGTGACCGTAATCGTACTGTAACCAAATTCTAGTGTCTCATTGCTTCACAAAAATTGTGCAGGCCAGGTGCGGTAACTGTGCGGTAATTTCTACCGTACGTTTCCAACTCATACGAAATTAGGCCTAGTCCGGGACCTAAAATTGCCTAAAATCGCCTAAAATCGCCCAAAATCGCAGTAAATCGCCCAAAATCGCAGTAAATCGCCTTAGATTTAGATGGGTTTTTGGTGATTTTTGCTTAAATCGACTAAAATCGCTTAAAATCGCCTATAATCGCAGTAAATCGCCTAATAGATTTAGATGGGTTTTTGGTGATTTTTCCTAAAATCGCCTAAAATCGCTTAAAATCGCTTAAAATCGCCTACAATCGCCCAAAATTAATTTTAGGTCGCGATTTTAGGTCCCGAACTAGCCCTGAAATTGACTCTATAGCAAATACAAACTCACTCGAAAATGACTATCGATATCSTTGCCATAAACCAGCATATTTGTACCATTACATAAAGCATTCTATTATATGATAATGCTTCATGCATCAGCATCACCTCCATGGAAGTCGTCTCTACTCACGATGTTCATTCAGTGAACTTTTTGTAAGATTGAAGGTCTTTTTATCCAATTCGTAATAGAGGCGTATTGGGCAAATTAATTAAYCTAATTTTTATGAACCTATTATCCCTTCATCTTCTTTAGTAATGCGTTGTGCAGCGGGAGATCTTCTGGAGGAGATTACTGAACCTATTGTGCCTCTACTTCTCCTTCATTGCGTGTGGTGCAGTGAGATTTATTCTTCTTACGGATTTAGAACTTTTTGCATTTGAGATCGATCCAAGAAGATTCAATTGCCATACAATCTTTGTGAACTCCATGTCAAGGACATTTCCCTAAAACTCCTTCGAGTAAGTGAAGCGGCGGTAGCGCGACACATCTCCATCGATACCAGAGCTGGATACCACTGTACAACATTGTAACAACTGGAAGAGAATGTCTGCCGTCTGTAGGAGCCCTCACCGAGACCTCCAGCCAAACAGATCATGATGATGTATGATCAGCACAGTACAATCAAATGGAAGTTTATTGTTCGCATTTATAACCAATTGAGTATCAATATATAAACTCATTTATGTTTTCTTCCTAGGGTTTTTACTTTACATGTATTTTTCATAAACTTCGTGAAATCTTTTTAATTGCATGAATTGAGTTTCCAAATTCCTATCGCAGATGTTATTTCCAAGATTTCTTCTTTTTGTTTAAGGTTATGCTGTTAATAATATCAATAATATTCGTGTAATAAATACCAATAATGTTTGTTCTTGTGTTGTGTTTCTCTAATATCTTCACATCCTTGTATCTCTGTATGAATTATACATCTAGTTATATAACATAAATATTCTTAATGTTTACGACCAAAGTATGTCCTACCACTCGGGTGTGCATTGTACATAGTGAATCCCTCTGATAAACCGGTGATTAACGAAGMTCTATCGAACAACACCAAATCGTCTTCTACTCCAAAAGTAWAAAGTTCATCGCATGAGTGACGAGGATTAAGATGCATTCTGAAGATTTGAGGCTTTGTATAATTCAAGAAAAATATATCATCTTTTCCGTTTATTGATATGGCTAGTTTATCATCCGAATTTAAACGTATTTTCATCTGAAGAGGAATAGGGAGATTGCTATCAGAATTGAAAGTCCCTATGTATGSCCGCGTGTCCTTTGGTAGATGATATATCTGAAATCAATATGAAAAATTGGATCATTACCGGTCCGTATCCTGAATATAATGTGCATATACCTTTAGKGATGCTTTTTCGATTGCTTCGTCCATAGTTACTATTATTTTCTTGATATATTCTTGAAGTGAGTCGTCTAGTCCTTTAATGCAGTCAGTACACATAAAATTGAATGCTGCCAAAAAAAAGTGGATTTAAACATATTTAAAGGTAATATACAACCACAGAAATAAGTCAAATAATGCWTGAGCCAACAGTCAGCCCTCTGGGTAATAGGAGATGACCCGACAGTTATCAAAGTTTGTTCGTTTGAACCGTCTATTTCTTTGTTCCTGTTGCTTTGGATGTGCCCACTCTTTGTTTGGCTGGGCACTTCCAAGACGAAAGCCAGTCCAGGATCCGCCGGCCTAGGTCATCTGAATTCCCATCACATTTGATTATTGTTCATATTTGTTAGGATAAACATTCACTATACTCACCCAGTTTCATTTCGGGAACGACAGCTACATACGAGCTATAACCATAAACAGAAGCTGTTTTTCCTCTTATCATTCGACCCCTTTGAAAAGTGATTTCCCATGGCATGCCTGTCATTGTTGTACCATCGGGAAATACAAAATCTGAGTCAAAAGCAAA